TAAGAACAGAGAAGAAGGCTCAGTTGTTTTTGCTGATATGTTCCACTCGTTGATTACTTTCTGCTTGATAACACTTAAATGCATTTACACAGCATCAGCCATCTTTTTCAGTAGAGTGCTTCCTTGTGATCTGAGCTACCAGTGAGAAAAGTCAATTTTGTCAACATGTTTTAGAGATAAGGCAACTAAATCTAAGAAACTTGAAGATATTGTACCAGGAAAGGAGATGTGAATTTTTTTCTATAAAGTAGATTAAGAATTTTTCTGAAAGGGAGACTATTAGAGAAGAAGAATGGGTCCAGGAGTAGGGGAAAGGGAAAAATAAGGAAGGGTAATGTGGGAGTAGATATGATCAAAGCATGTTATATGCATATATGAAAATGCCACAAGAAACCCATAATTCTGTATAATTAATATGAACTAACAGAAATAAAAAAATATTTCTGAATATTCCAATATCCTAAATCAAGTTTTCAGAGATAATAGATCTGAGTAGACATTTCTATATGTAGGAAATAGTACATACTGTCCCATGGATCACCAGGCAAATGCTGAACACCCCTTCACATTGACATAAAGGAAAATACCAATTCAGGACATGAAGGCTTTCCCTGTACTCAAGCTCCTGCTTCTACAGTCTGGGCTTCACAGGTTAAAGGATTTCTCTTGGGATGCTGATTTGTGCTTTTAAAGAATGAACTTATACTTGGAAATCTTGCTGCAAGATTATATGATGATGTCATTATTTATGTAGTCCCAGCTGAGCCTATAAAATCCAAAAGCTTTACAATCTATATTTACAGTGATAGATTTAGATAGCATTCCCCCCACATCATTTACACACACACACACACACACACACACACTTCTTTAAGTCTCAGACTGCTTTTTGATGTAACTGTGTTTTCTCTATTTTGACATTCTTGGAGCAGCCCTAGTGAAGCTTAAGATTAAAATCACAAGTCTGCAGCTCAGACAGGGAATAAAGTACAAACCCTGAAGGTGATCTCATGTGCTCAGAATTATACTTCAAAGATCAACTTCACTTTAATGTAGCATTTAGACAAGGAGCTTTCTTTACCCAATCTTAATTAAAACAATGAAAGACATTTTCATCTTTATTATTAACAATGCTAATTAAACCAATACACTTTTATGTTGTTTTCTCTTTTTAATTTGGGCTGTGACTATTTGTAAAAATAAATATCTAATAATAATGGCTTATGATCATAGTCTGTTAACTTTAGAATAAAGGAAACCAGGAACAACATAGTACACATTTTAGTTGTATAATCTGTAGAACAAGATGAGTTTATCAACTCTTGAAAAGTGAAAAATAATTTCTGCATTTATTATTTTTAGATTGTAATAGGGTAAGGTCAGGGGCAATAGCAAGTAGTTTAGGGGGGCTTCCTTTAGCTCCCCTAAGCATCATCAGCCTCCCAGCATAACTACCAAAAATAAAATGCAATGTAATTGAGACTCTGAATATATATATATATATATATATATATATATATATATATATATATATATTATGCAAAAGCAGCTTCAAAACAAGTCCCCAAGTTGCTCATTCTAATAGACTGCTAACTGAAGCTTTTCCCCTGATAGTCTAGAACCATTTGCTTACCTAGGGGCCTATAACTTCACAAAAAAAGTCACTCTGCCTTTTAAGATTAGGTGTCATAGTTTGGATGTAACATGGAGCGAAGGAGCCTACACACACAGAAAAGGAACATAAACAATCCATTTTTGCACAAGATACTTATTTGCACAAAAGGACTAGATAGTGTCCTGCACTGTGTGATCTTGGTTAAGCTATGTAATTGTCTCGCTTCAAGGCTCCCACCTGGAGACTGAGAGACTTAAAAGGGCTGGTCTCAGAAGCCTTTTGCATACTCAGAGCCTAGGATTCCTGGTTTCATCAAATATCTGAATCTGGATTGTTTATCCACATCTACCTCTGATGCTGTGCCTGGGTCCCTTTTTGCCTTCTTTAACCATTTTCCTAGAGAAAGTGAGAAACCCTGACAGAACAGGACAAGTACGGAGAAAGAAGCTTAGATACTCCTGAGTGGGGAAGAAGTCCCCTGTTCATTGGGTGTCCCCCACCTTTTCCTTCCATTGCCATGTCAAAAAGCAGTCTAGAGTGGAGACAGAGTCTGCAGAGTCGCAGAGCCGGGAGCTGATGAGTAATAGGGAGAATCCCACTTAGGTGTATCTCAAGCTTCAGTTTCTTCCTTTACTCATGCTCACAGTAGAAATAAAGGGTAATGTTTCTCATGGGAAGTCCTTGGCTCTATTTTGTTTGTTTCCCCTCACAAAAGGGTTCTCGGGAGAAGAGGAAGGGGCACAAAGCAAAGAGGGCAAACAAAGGACTTGGGACCCGGTACAAAAGGACTCCCACTTGTGCACAGAAATGCCACTTCTTGACTAGCTGCAGCTCAGCTTCCCCTGCAGGTGCTACAGTGGGGTAGCGTCTGGAAGCACCCAGGCCCGGGGCTGCGGCGGCCGAGGTCCACATTGGACGCTAGGTAGAAGCTCCTCAGTGACTTGGCCTACGGGAAAGCAAGCCTCGAGGTCAGCATCCTGCCAGCTCCTATAAGTAGATCTAATTATGACCGCTTACTTCAAAAAGAGGATTTAACCCAAAGCAGATTTAGCAGGGCAGTTTCCAAAGGGCAGCAGGAACCCCAGGCGTGACCTTTGAGAAAATCCTAAAAGCTTCGCTGCCAGGGAACTTGGCAAGCCAGTGACCATAAACGCCTCAGAGAATTTCAGAGACGCCAACCTGTTATCAGGGTCCTAGTGGGGGCGTTTAATTTAGAACAAAGTGTCAGAGTGTACCCGTGGCGTGTGTGCTGGAGCTGAGTTGGTATTGAGCTGAGGAAAAAAAAAATTGACACCCTAGTAAAAAGCACTAAATTAAACTTTAATGTGTTTAGGAAGCTAAATAAGAGACAAAAATCTTTTAGTGACTATTTGCCTAAAACGTGAAAGTTTGGGAACATATTCCAGTGGTGCTGATCAAAGTTTCAAAAGCTTGTTAAAGTCATTTTTAAAGAAAAGTTTACTTGGACTTGTGCTACTTTCAACATAGCACTTTGCTCGGAAGTGGTTTTATTGTTCTGATGAAATTAAACAACTCCAAAAAAGGTAAAGGAATTTTTCATCTAAAGTTAACCAACATTAAGTTAGTAAATAAATATTTCTGAATAGATTCATCACATAACAAATTTGAAAAGAAATATGGTGAACTATAAGACTATTTTGTGTCATTATTTCGGTTGTTCTTACAGAGTGCACACACACACAAAGGAAAACAAAACAGAAAGAAAAAGAAACAGCTCGAATAAATATTCACTTCCATTAAACCAACTCTGAGTGAACTGGTGCCACCTCAGATTTTGTCTTAGGTGGGAAACTATGGAAAAGACAAGATGTAGTTCTAAATCAGATAGTTTACAAAGTGATCAAAAATGATTCACACAGATACTCTTTTGCAGTATTTGATTTCAAATGTTTAAAAAAGTCAATATCATACAAGTTCCTACTTAAATTTTTTTTTTTAGTTGTAGATAGACACAACACTTTATTTTAATTTTTTTATGTGGTACTGAGGATGAAACCCAGTGCCTCATGCATGCTAGGTAAGCACTCTACCACTGAGCCACAACCCCAGCCCAAGTTCCTACCTTTTTCACTTGACCACATTCCAACACAGGTTATATAACCTGATGATTATTGTGTATTTAATTAATATTGTCTTTAGAACCTTGTTTGCCATAGCCTGGGGTTGGAAACTTCTCAGACATTGAGGTGGTAGGTTTATTCTCACTGGCTACACAAATATATCAAATCAGATCATCAATTTGTTCAAACACATAACTACTATACCTTAGCTTATAAGAGTTTAAGGGAAGCACAAAAAATCTTAAATTAGGGATATAAAATGTAACACTTCAGCCATTGTTCTCTTTTACATTTCACCTTCCCCAAGGGATGTGCCCAATACAATAATAAGTAAATATTACCAATAATTAAAAAAAATTTTTTTAAACACAACATGCTTTGCTTTATTCTGTATTTACTCTTACTGTGGTAGTTTTTTTCTGGTATGTAAAATATTCCGCAAAAATCAAATCTTTTCCTTATACCCAAATAAATAATAAAGCTGGAATAGAAAAAGATATTACCTAGTGGCTCTGAATTTGCAAGCCCTCAACACAGATGCAAGCAGGCTTGTTGTTGATTTCAAAGATGGTTAACGTCTGAGACATAACCATTCATCTGAGGGAAGGAAGAAAGGACTTGATTGCAAAGGTTTTTCAATTTGGAATCTCTGCTTCATGTGTGTCAATTTTTGGTTTGAGAAAACTAAATGCTTACAAGAACAGTCATGGAGACTCAACACACTATTTTTTTGTTTTGTTTTTACATAAAGTTTTATAAAGTATGCAACCAATATAAGGTTAAGCAGTTAGTTCTAGTCATTATCCAAATATTAATATTTTTCTACATTGGTAATAAGAATGAAGAGGATTTAAGATGATTAGGTTAAAGCATTCTCCTTCCTGAAAAATGGTGTGGTTTTTTTTGTTGGTGGTGATGGTGTTTGTTTGTTTGTTTGTTTTTTCAATAGAAGGCAATTTACAGGAAGGTTTTTCAAATAGAAATACTTCATTGATCAAACTCAAATATAAGCTCCCTGGGTTTCTTTCTGGTTTTATGGTTTTAAAGGTTTTAGCACCCTTGTGGGAATGTGGCACCCTATTTTCATGCATCCCCAAACATATTCATGTAAACTGTCACACTCTTTATGGTAACAAACCATTCAGAAATTGGAATTTAGAACCTTGTTTGCTATGGCCATAGCTTGAGGTTGGACACCCAGAGACCTATCCATAGTGCCACCACTTGGAAGCCTGACCTCTGATGGGAGGGATGGATAGGGCAGCAGGCCTCCAGATGTGACTGGCAGCATGTGTGCACATTACCTCTCCCTCTCCTGCTCCAGCAAGTTGGTGAAATCGTCACTTTTGTTCATGTAGTCAGTGTGTTTGTGCTTCTCGTTCTCCAACTCGTACACAGTACGCCTGTGACACTTCTCTGCCAGCAGCAGTTGCTCTAGCATGCGCCGGTAGGTTTCTTTCTGCTTTTCCTCAAGTCTGTCCAGCTGAGTAGGCAAAGGTGGGAAAGATATTTTATTTCACTTACATATGACTCTAAATAATTGGCTTAAATTGGTCTAGTGATTTATTACCTGAAGGAGAAAACATCAAATGTGGTATCCTCTGCCATTTCCCCCATTCCTTCATTTTCTCTGTGTCAACTGACCATATCAACTAGCCATGATAATGCTGCATTTTAACTTCTGTCCTTCTGGCCCTTTTTCTGTAAATACATGTATGGTCCCTAAACTTGCAGGAGAACGAACTCTTCCATGGTTTTAATGAGATAGCCCAAATCCTGTACTTGGGGAAAAAAAAAAAAAGGTGGCTTACATCCCCTCCTGATCTAAAAAAAAAAAAAAAGTAACATCTCAGCATGTACATGTGCCAAACTTCTCCTTTGGGAAGTAATTATCATTGTTGCAATCTTATTTTAAGGCTTGCAGCTATATGCATTTCTAGGAAAAGTATATTAAGGATCAAAGTCTTCTTATTTAAAGAGACACTAAATATAAGGAGGATTTTAGAACTTGTAGAGAGTACGTATCTCTAAAACCATTTTTTTCACAATTCAAAAACTGTATTTACTAAAAAGAAGAAATATAATTATTTGAATATATCATTTTCGTTATGTGTCATTGAATTATTTAAGGTTTCACATTACAGAGAATAATAATAATGATTTTTCTCATCATATTAATAATGATTTTTGTGATCATCATTTTAAGATTAGCTCAAAATAAAAGCAGTCTTAAATATTATCAATTTTTTCCCTTTTTCTCTGAACAGAGTGTAAGATCTTTAAAGAATCATGCCTTGATCATCTTTTTAGTCTCTGGAGCTTAGCACAGTGTCTAGAACAAATTAGCTGTTCAGTAAATGTTTGTTAAATCTTACAATATTGATAGTTTCCTGTTGTACTCTCTATCTGCCCCCTCTGTTTTTGTTTGGTACTGGGATTAAACCCAGGGGCTCTTTACCACTGAGTTAAATCCCCAGTCTTTTTTTTTTTCCTTATAATTTTTTATTTAGAAACAAAGCCTTGCTAAGTTGGCCTCAAACTTGTGATCTTCCTGCCTCAGCCTCCTGAGTCTGGAATTACAGGGATGTGCACCGTGCCAAGCTTGCTCTCTCTTAAACTCTATATAGATCAGGATTTCTCAAGTTTGGCACTGCTGAGGCTAGGTCATTTATTGTGAGGTTGTGCACTGGAGGATGTTTAATAGTATCCCCACCATGTGATGCCCTGTATATTAGAGGATGTTTAGCAGCACACCTTTGGCCTATCTACTAGATGCTAGTAGCACCATCTCCAGCTGTGATGATCAAACTATACTGACATTGTCAACTGTCTCCTGGAAGTCGAAATCCACCAGCTTACTACATCCCAGTTAAAACAAGTGATCTAGTTAAAATCCATTCTCAGTCTCAAAATCGACTTCCTAAAACCTACTATCTCACAGGTTATCAACACCAGAGCCTTCCTTCTTAGTTTTCTATGTTTTCCCTTCAGTTATAAGAAGGATTTGTGATTCTTTCTGCAGTTGCATGATATATTCATTGTGAATGAGTCATTTCTGGAATCCCAAAATAAAAAAGAGCTGCCCCCCATCATCCTCAGTAACTTCTTTCCAGATCTCCACAAATTTGTTTAGGAGCAAGTGACCCAATGGAACTAGTAGAGAAGTCATGTTAACTGGTAGCTGATAAATATAAAATCAGTAGAATTTGACAAATTACACTTTTATATTTTCTGACAAATTTTTGTAGCCTTAGAGGGACAGTCTATACCATTAGAATAGTTCTTGTTTATGAACTATTCAAAGAACTTTTTCAACTTCCTACATGTTCCTTCTCACCAAATTTTATAGAATTTGTCAAGCACTGCTGAATTATCATTATCATCAGAAATGGGGAAGGAGGACTGGAATGTGGCTCAGTGGTAGAGTGCTTGCCTGCATGTACAAGGCCCCAGGCATGATCCTCATTATCACACACAGAATGTGGGGGGAATTACTTATTCTTCTTTTTGATCCTTTTATTATAAAATAGGATTCTCCATCTTTGAATTTGAAAAGCAGCTTCTGCCCATTTTTTTATACTCTCTGCCATACTTCCCAAGGAAGGAGGAGTGACTTGTTGAAGCTTATATTTGGAATAGGAAATTGGGTGTGTACAGCTCAGTCTTGCATTTATTTTTCATTCTGTCTGCCATAAGGATGATATGACATGTTCTAAAGGCCCCAACTTTTCCCTAGGATCTCTCAATCCATTCAAGGAAATGTGGAGAGGAAAATGGTGGCATTGTTAATTAGATGGTTGAAAGAGAAATCCAAAGAGGCAGTGGTTGCATGGACATCTGGAAAAAAACAGCATATGAAAATATCAAGTGTTCAGGGGCAGCCTTACTTAGCTTCAACATATTCTGTCCACTAGGCCTTTGAGACTGGCTGTTCACAGTAGCCTTAGTCCATAGCTAGACCACTGGAATAGGTTGCTGGGATCTCAGTGGATAATGCTCACCTCACCCACATTAGCACAATTTGACCCCACCATGATTACAGCACCAGGAAAACAGTCTTTTTGTCTCCTAATGCATAATTGCTGGGGAACTGGGTTGCATAGTGTGCTTTTGAGGCAGAACGGTGGACCCAGACTTTAAAATTCAGAGGCAGTAAATTCTTCTGCTATAAAGCATTAGTGTGAGGATCTAGCTTTTAATTTTAAATTCTACATGTAAGAACTTAACATAGGTAGCAATACAGCATCTGTGACAGATGCTATTTCTTGTTATTTTGTCTGGAAACATATCAAGCTCCTAAGAGAGAACTGAGATGGCCTATTCTCTTGGCTGTATATGAAGACTAACTCCCATAACTATAGACCCTATAGATTCATGAATCATATGTACCATGTATATGGCTTTTGGTTTTGAGGATCCAAGCTGTAGCTCAGCTTAGAGGAATGGCTTTGATTAATGAGCAGTGAAAGTGGAATGGGCACCTATTACTTTGGAAATACAGCTTCCACTTGGACAGAAGTGGAAGGAAAATTGAATGAGATCATCATAGAGCCAAACGCCAAAAATTTACTAAGGAAAGAGTGTACCTGGAAGTCTTTTCCAAATGAATCAGCTTGGCAGATTAGTGCAAAGACTTGAGATTGAGAACAATTTCAGTATGTGTTAGATAAAAGGATCACAGTTCAGGAAATGTTTTTAACTCTGTTACCTGAAGAGGGCTAAATGGAGAAGTACTAAGGAATCCAGGAAGAGAGAAATCAACTTAAAAGGAAATACAAGGTCTTAAAGATCAAACCAGATTTATACAAAATGGAAATGGATCTAAGTGCAAAGATAGAGCCATAAAAAAATCTTGGAGCTGGAAACTTATAAATTTTTTAAAAGTTTGCGCATATGAAATTGGTACTATGATAATTGTGTATGTCCTAATGAACTCTTGGATTCCTTGGAAAAAAACAGAATATAGGGACTTAAGGATAAAATAATGCATCTTTGAAAATGCCAAGACCAAGTCATTTTACTGAAGAGGAAAGCAAAAACAATTAATTGAGTTTGAGTGGAACAAGAAATTAAATTAAAAGGAAAGAAACAAAAATCTTAATTTTTCTTGGAATTTTGCTCAAGAGAATTATGAATTTTAACATTCTGGACTTTGATTTATAAGGAAGTTCAGGGAGGTTTAATATTATCTATTTAATTTTTGCCCAGACATTTGGCAAGGGAAAGAGATCCACCGCATTGTGTTCACACTTAGCCTTCGGTGAATTCAACTGGGGCCTAATTTGGTATGGAAATTACAATGAACAGTGATTTTTTTATTATTATTATTTTAAAATTTTTTTGGATTGAGATGCAACAAAGCTTCCAGGAACAAAAGCTAGACTACATGCTCATGGTCCCAGGAAACTAATGGAACAGTGATATATTGGAGTTCATGTTTGGAAGAAAGACTCATGTTTCTGGATAATAAGAACTTGATTGTTAATACTAAAGGATTAAGACATCAAAAATCTGTACATAATGGGAAAAAAAAACCCTTTTTCTTCTAGCATTCTATTTCTCTCACAATGCAGGACTTCATTTGTTAGTACTAGCAAGAGTAATTTCATCCTTCTCTCTTTCTACTTCCTCACTCACTTCTCCCCAAGAGAGAAATGACTCTCAGATTGCTGAAAGGATAAAGGAACAAAGAAGTACACCCAGTTTAGCCAGTTCCAGGACAAATTACAAGCTGGTTGTTTCTACTCTGCTGCTCTGTCCAGAGGTAGGAATGCTGGTGTCCAGCCTACTTTCTTTTTTGAGGGGGAGGGGAGGTACTGGAGATTGAACTCAGGGCACTCAACCACTAAGCCACATCCCCAGTACTGTTTTTTTTTTTTTGTATTCTATTTAGAGACAGGGTCTGACTGAATTGCTTAGCACATTGCTTTTTGCTGAGGCTGACTTTGAACTTTCAATCCACCTGCCTCAGCCTCCAGAACCTCTGGGATTATAGGCATGGGCCACTGTGCCTGGCAGGCCTACTCTCTGAAGGTAGACTAGAAACTCTTCTCTTTGTGTACTATCCATAGAACTCAGTGGATAGGAGACAGTGATTCTGCACATGTCTGCTATGGAGACCTACCTCTTCCTTGCATGTACATCCAAAGCTCTTGGGAGAAAAAAATTAAGATGCTCAATTGAAACCATTTATTGAAGCTGAGTTATCCAATTCAAGTTACTATTATTATAAAATCAATGTATGTTTTTGACCTCTACTTGTCTTTCCCTCCCCAAATCCCTATTTAGAATCAGTTAAAGGGTATGAGCAATTATCATTTTCAAATCCTAGCAAATACTAATGGCTGATGTTTTTTGAGTACCCAGTACTGTGTCAGATGCTGTGCTAAGAGCTTTATAGTATTGCTCTGTATAATCCTTACATCATCTCTATGAGGTGTGCACTGTGGTTTCTCCCACCTCACAGATAAAGGCTTAGGGCTGGGGATATAGCTCAATTGGTAGAGTGCCTGCCTCGAATGCACAAGGCTCTGGGTTCAATTCCCAGCACCACAAAAAAGGAAAAAGAAAAAAAGACCCTGAGGCTTAAAGAGCACAATTGGCCAAGGTAAGGTCATATATAGCTAGTAAAGGTGCATCTCAAACATGGAATTGTATCCAACTTGTTGGCTGTACTCCATCACATAATCATCTCTTAACAACTTTAGGAAAAATTGAGAATAGAGCTTCAGTTTGCTTTTGTTGAATAAATTAGAAAATTATGAAGCCTCAATCTGTTTTGAATACTAACTAAAGAATATGTTGTCTCTCAGATCTGTCAAACTGAGCTGCTCTGAAGACTTGATAAAAGTCAAAAGTTAACTTTATAACAAGTTGCTTTAAACATTCTATTTTGTGGGTTTTTTTTCATTCATCATGCTAGTTGCATAGCTATTAATTTTTCACATGAATTTTCAGGAATCAGTGTGACTAGATTTGTAAACTGCGACCCTAATTTGGCATCAAACTTATATTACAATGTGAAAGTATTTTTAAAATATTATCTCATGGGTAATTAGTAATGACAGTCCATAGTTCCAAACACAATCTTACACAAAAATGATTAAATATAGCCCTACCGAATTTATTTAATCTTAAAATATTGTTCTAAGTTTTTCATTGGGAATTTGCCTCAATCATTGAATTTTAGCTAATCACATAGACCTTTTTAATTATGACAGTCTTTAAGATACCCAAAAACAATCTGGCTTTATAACCATAAATATTAATAATAAAATCAATTTAGTTTTAGATTACCAATTTGATGATAATCCTGACAACTCAATGTTAAAACTGACAAATATTTCAAATTTTTATACACATAATTTCTTAGAGAAGTAAAACAATAATATACTATAAGAGCATGTAACTATTATTCTCACATGGAAAATATACTTTAAGCTTTAAGCATATTTAAGTAAATGCTTCTGAAATTCTTATCATTGAAGATCACTAACTACAACCTTGAATTAATTATACTTAACTCGATATTAGTATACCATAAATTTTCCCTTTGAAAGAAAATGTTCAAGTATGTAAATAAAAAATGGGAAGATTTATCTCTGAGATTTCCTTCTAGAGGACTTGGTATCATATTTTTACCTCTGAGATGGGTTTCTCATAGACATCTTCTCCTATGGACTTCTCCTGAGCAAGGATGGCATCTCGGTGCAGGATCCGAAGCACTTTCTCTGGTTCTGCAGATCCGTAGTGAGCCTCCAGAACCTCAGGCTTGGTTTTCTCAGTCTTCAACATATGGATCACATCTTCTCTGGCCTGTGGTAGAAAGTACAGTAAGGTCAGATGGTTGACAATGTAAATCATATAACAGGCTCACAAAATCAACATGGAGCTTATTGAATACATACCCACCTCTTCAGGGTTATTGGCAAATTAACTGGATATTCTGTTCTTTTTTTTTTTTCCCATCAAGAGCAGATTGGCAAGCAGATACTCTGCTTCAGGTTGCTAGGAAGCAGGCAAGCAGAAAGAGGGTTTGTGCTAATATTAACTACATTAAAATTGCTTGATTTAAGTAGCAATGATTTGAGAGAAGGGGCATGGTTGGGCTGGTTTTGGTATAGAATGACTTGTTTCAGTGCAAATGAGGTCAAAGACAAGCTAAAATCTTCTAGGTTTCTATTTATGCTCTAAGTGCAGTATTCAAATCCAGTTTAAAGTAAAACCCTGCTCTCTTCATGCCATAACTCCGTGTTAATTATAGCTAGCTATAACTTCATGTGAAATTAACAAACAGCCTTTATTAGTGATTTCTTTCTGTTCCTCATCAAGTAATTTCTTTTGCACAGAAGTACATGGTTGAGTATTCACTCCATGCTGGGCTGGGCTTTTTCTATCTAATGCATTCATGCTGAAAGCGAGATATTATTCTTTGAACATCCAGACTACCCACAGATGAATTGGGTTTGGTAGGGTCATGGTTATTCTTTTGGTTTCTTAGCACAACTTTAAATGAAGCTTTCGAGAAAACCATGTAATTGTAGGTTTTATATGATATTATCTTTGGTCCCCATCCCATAATGCAAATGCATCTGGATATATTTTGTACTGGTTAGCTGTGATGATATTGCTAGTCATGATGTAGCTGACATTTGCTGAATGTACTTCCATCTGGGCCTTGGCTCACTTGGAACTGTTTTTCCAGTAATGGTGATGGGTAAGTATCTGACTTCATTCCAACTTGTACTAAAGACCAAACTGAGAGTTTCAGTCTGTGACAATGGAATAGAGTTTTCCCTGTATTAATGCTAACTATGGATTTGAGTCTTTAAAAATGGATCATTATTATGGTTGTCTAAACAAGAGAGCTGACTAGTCAAGTATTTATGATAGGACCAACATAAAGTTGGTCTTTCTTGAAGTTCCTCACTTCTACTGCATTGTCAGTCTCCAAATTAATCTAATTCCAGATGAATTAGAGACATCACTGAGACATCAATCAACCAGAATATGCAAGTTTTCAGTGTCTCGACCACATATATGTATGTTCATTTCAAGACTAAAAAAAGGAAAATATTACTTTTGAAGAACTTAGTGATTGGGAACATTAATGAGAATATTAAGATCAGAAAATAGGTTCCTGAAAAAACAATATGTCTCCATGCAGGGTGAAAGGATATTCATACAGTCACAATGTCAGGTTAACCTGTACAGTGTCTTTATGCAAATTGCTTTAGAAAAATGGTGCCTACTTCAATGAAGGTATGGTCCTGAATCAGAGTGCAGCTTATGCAGCTCACCTAGTGAGAGAAGAGTAGGCTGAATTCCAGCTACTCATCTCCTCTGCCAGGTAGCCTCATGCAAGGCATAATTCTCTATCTGCATGAGGTGGTCCTATTCTGAAGGAGCCTCCAGGTGCATAACTTGTTACTAGTCTTCAGGAGGGAAATGCTCCTACATTCATCTCACTGGTGAGCACACATAGCATCTTCTAAAGTAATGGTTCTCAAAGCTGACCGCATGGGAATCACCTGTAACTTTAAAAAAATCCCACAGCCCATGCCATCCCAGACCAATTACATCCCAATCTCTGGGAGAAGGGCTTGTGCATCAGGATATGTTAAAGCTCCCGGGTGATTGCAGAGTACTGTGCTCACACTACTTTGGTTTGGATTTGGTTTGAGTGTGTCCCCTAGGGGTTTGTGGGCCAGAAGCTTGTTCCCCAATGTGGTGATATGAGAGATCCTGGAACTTTTAGGTGGTGGGGCTTAGTGGAAGGTGAACATTAGGTCATTGGGAACACTCTCAGGTTAATATAATTCTCACAGGACCCTGGATATTCCTTGAGAGCAAGTTGTGCAAAAGAACAAGCCTGGACAGTGAATTCCTCTAGCTTTCTCTCTTAAGATGTGACTACTCTCTCTCTCTCACACATGCTTCTGCCATAATGCCATCTGCCATGCTGTGATGCACAACACAATAGGCCAAGTTATGGTGTTACACAATTGTGGATTTTCAGTCTCCAAAACTATGAACTATATAAGCCTCTTTTCTTTATAAAGGACTGAGCCTCCAGTATTTTGATAGCAACAGAAAATAAATAAATATACACAATAATCAATTAAGAGACAGAGCAACCAAACTGATTAATAATCCCTGGTACTATTCAATCTAAACTTTGCTAAGTTGGTGTGTGTGCTTTTTCTTTTTCTGTTTTTGGAAAGATATTATCACCTTACTTCTTTCAATCACCTCACACCTGAGGTCAGCCTTAAACTTTAGCCAGAGCGGAAAACTTCATCTGAAAAAAGAAACTGTGACTTTAGTGACTAATGCAATGAGAAGGAAGAAAAATTTAGAATCGTATTTCAAAGTGACAAAATGGTGATGATAAGGTTGGCAAGGTGGAAGTCTCCATAACAAACTATTTTTTTTTCCTATCTTTAAATCAAATGAAGTAAAGGCTGTCTTCTAAAGTTCACATTTTAACATGTGAAGTGTAAAGACTTACAGAGAAGACATTGAATTTACTGTTTTTTTTTTGGCGGGGGGAGTTTTAAATTTTAAAAATAATCTCAGCAATTTGGGAAGCTGAGGCAGGAGTATCATAAATTCAAAGCCAAACTCAGCAACAAGACTCTGACTCAAAATTTAAAAATAAAAAATGAATAAATAAAATTAAAAATGTTTAAACAGTAAAGGAGAATGTATTGTCATTTGTACACTAATTTGAGATATTGATTCAAAATAAAATGCAAATATTTCAAATGGTTTGCTTCCTGCTCTCTAAAATGTAGTAGATATGTAAGAAAAGGAAGAGCAAAATTCAAATTCTTCAGAAAAGAAATCATGATTGAAGGCATAGACTAAGTCATATAGTACTTGAATAATTAAACAAACTTTTGAAAGACTGAAAGAAAATGGCTTAGAAGACAGACACTAAATATAGTGGGATGAAGGCTGCTTTTAGTCCCTTATCTTTTGCTTATATGTTTGTTCTCAACTTTCCACAATGAATATGTAATTAATTTTAAAAAAAGAAACAAAGTTGCACTTTTATAAAGAAAGTCCTCATATTTCTATTTCACACAAGTCCTCATTATTTCTATTTCACACAACGGGGCAAGGGCAAATAATGTAGTAGAAAGTTCCTTTCACACATGCCCAATGCTGAGAAAGCCACCTTCATTCTGGCTATATATAAGCCTACACACAGTGTCCCTGGGATTTAACACAAGGAAAACACAAACCAAACTTCAGAAAGATTCTACTATACCATCGTTTTGGCATTGCTTTGATTCCTTTTAGGATTATTTAAACACAGCAGTAAATCCAAGATAGAACAGCCACTAAAGTGGGTGGGGATGCTAACAATGAGGTGGTGTGAGGACTATAGTTGTTCCACTAACATTTATTCTGATTTATTCACATTCCAACTAGATCACTGAAGGAATCACTGCAAAGCTATTAACATATTGCCTTTCCACGAATGACATCCTGAAAAAGTGTTTGTCCCTAATTATGGATAAATGTCAGAAAGTGGCTTTCAAAATGCAAACTGCATTTAATAACCTTAAGAGCTTAGATTGCACCACTGAGTTAACACAAGTTTTCACAACCTGAGCATAAAGAAAATTAATTAAATCATTTTTTCTGTATTTTTATATTTATTTATTTATTTAGGTACTGGGGATTGAACCCAGGGCTCTTTACCTCTAAGCTTTTTATTTTGAGACAGGATCTTGCTAACCTGTTGAGGATGGCCTTGAACTTGCATCCTCCTTCCTTAGCTTCCTGAGTTGCTGGAATTACAGATGTGAGCCACCATATCCAGCAAGTTAATTAAATGTTAAAACTATTAAGCAACTAAACACAAACAAAAACAGAAATAAAATTCACATGATGGTGTAGTAGAAGTTTCCAGTCCTAACATTGCTTTGACCTAATCTATGAAAAAGGAATCATAATAACTTTTTTACATGATTGTTTTAGAATGGAATCAGATATAAATATATTAAATGCATAATAAGCACATGGCACACAGTATTTGCTAAGTCAATGGTAATGATTTATTATAGTTCTGTTAGGTCCCTATCATTAGATAACTTTTTGCACATGAGGAGAAAAGGAATTTTGTAAGATATATTTTTTCCCTAGTCAAATGTAACATTTAAAACTGGTAGAGTTTAACCACCTATACATTCCACAATTTGCTTTGAAGAACAGTTTTTCAAAAAGGAATTTTTTAATTCAAGCAACCTCTTCCCAAAAGTTATTTCATCTTCCTGACTCAGTTTGTTTGTCTCTAAAGTAGGGACACTAATCCTTCTATGTCATAGGTACTTTGTCAGGTTCTAACAAGAGGATGCAAATAAAGTGCATTTGAATCAGTAAATAGATAGTGATTTCAGCTTAATAGTTTACTATTCAATTTAAAATGCATAAATATTATTGTTAGTTATCATCTTGACCAAATCTTTCTGATTCTCTTAGAAGATAACTTCTATTCTTCCTACCGATGTGAAACGCCTATTATTTCTCTTCCTAAAAATCCATTTATGTTTGAACCTTATTAATTGCTATAAGCCATATATATGTATATTTCACATTTCATCTTACTTTCATTATCCTAGAAACTAATTACCAAAGCAAAAGAGGCTAAGGTGATGTAATACTATGTATCATATATTTAAAACCACACTATTCACCTCTTATTTAGAGCTTTTTTTTTTCTTTTTTAAATTTATTTTATAGTTGTAGATGGACACAATACCTTTATTTCATTTATTTATTTTTATGTGGTGCTGAGAATTAAACCCAGGGCCCCACACATGCTAGGCAAGCACTCTATCACTGAGCCACAACCTCAGCCCCATTATTTAGAGCTTTTTATCTGCTATGATAATCCTGGAAAGAATAACAATATTGTCTTTAATTTACTGTATTTATAAAAATTAAATACAATAAATCAATATTGTGGCATCTTTTTAATCAGTGGATTATTGAAAGTGACTATTGAAGTGACCATAATAAATTAGTTCATTATTTTCAATATGCAATTCAATCTAAGTAAAAATGATTCTATATTTTGGGGCTAAAACTACTGTTAC